TCAGTCAGTTGGTCAGTCAGTTAGTCAGTCCGTCAAATGAATAGAGGGGGTTCGTTTCTGAGGAAACTGTGGTACTGCGTCAGTGGGGACCGAGTGTAACATGACAATTTAGTTTTATCAGTTCAACTGAGTTGATAATGCACACTGACCACCATAAAACTAACGTTTAGATTGTTAGCCATTCGTCAGAGCCGTCAGTCAGTCGGACAGTTAATCAGGCAGATAGGCAGGCACTCACTCTATTGAGCAGGAGGTAAACAGCAAAGAATCAGGTATTCAGTCAGTAGGATAGAAAAACAGACTGTCATTCGGGCAGTCGGTCGTGCATGCTGGCAAGTAGACCGGCAGTGGACAGTGATTTTTTTTTTTAGCGCAAGCAATATTTTTTTATGTATAGATGCCATGGTCATGACTGCGGGCATACCAGTTTCTGACCCAGGGGGCCAGGTTACTTCTGACGGACTGTACCTATTACCTACAATGGACGTCACAAACAAAGGAAAAGTTGTGGCTTTTGAAATGGATGTCGATCGAGGAGGCTTCCTAGAAATCAAGGTACCTATAAGTAGAAGTTTTTTCGCCTGAATATTCTAATTCTGTGTTTGAAGAAAAAGGAATCCCTGCAAAAATGTCTTCCGAAATCATTTCTTTTAAATTTTTGTTTTTATACGTTTTTAAATTTATTTTCTTCATTCAAAAGTATCACAAAGTTGCCACTGTACAATTGAAAGAATTAAGTATTAATGATGCAACAAAACTGGCCTTTGTCTTCACCTCCCCACCCCTCCCCTCTTCAGCTGTACCAATTCTTGACTAAAACCAGTTCTGAGTTTTTGTTCTTTCTGAGTTTTATTCTGGGTCGTAGAGCTGTGTATCTCTGGGTATCTGTATTCTCATGTTTAATTTTGCCTGGATTTAACACTACGTGTCAATGACACGAAGTACAAAATTTTAAACCTTTGTAACTTGGCTTTACAGAACATATCATATTTGGATTTTAAAATTGCATTAAATTGTTGCCAACACGTAAAGCCAATTTTTACAGTCCAGAACCTAGAATTGCTTGAATACTCAAAAGTGTTGTTTCTGTGAGCGTTTTCCATGGATTCGCGGAATAAAGACAACAGCTCTATTTTTAACTTGTGTGCCCTAGGTTTATCGCCCGAAGTGTTTAGATTCCAAGCAGCGTTACTGTCGAGTACAAAGGCTGTGTGATTCCTCTGTTGGTTGCTGGGATGGTAATAAAACATTTAGCTTTGCAGGAACACAGTGCGTCAAGGAAGATGGGGCATTCAGCGAAAACAAAACGACGTCCCAAGCAAACTTTGATTACGAAAATATCTCAAATTGTACGATTCAGACAACCAGCGGCCATAAGGTTATTTTAGTCGAGAGTTGTACTCAGCAACTTGAGGTTGAAGAAGGCGATGTCATTGCTGTGCAATTTCCTTCTTCTAAGCCAGGTGCGGCAATTAAAACAAGTTTGTCAAGTATTTCTCTTTTTTATAACACGTCGCTCTCAGGTGGTACCGAAATTCTTCGCAGTAATCGCCATCCGGTAACAGCTTCAAGTCCAACAGAACTTCGTCATGCACCCGCAATAGCCATTTTATACACCGCATTGTCTGGGAGAAGCGTTGATCATCTATATCAGACACCCGGAAATAAATCAGTTTCTCTTACACTAAAGAATTCATACGGCAAGTTCAACTTTACAGCACAGATTTTTGTCCAAGAACCGATAAAAGGACTCGAGTTAAGCTCGCCTGACACTTTCGCATTGTTAGAACCCGTTAATATCACCGCTGATAAAACTATTGGCACTGATTTAACATACTATTGGGAATTCAGCGACGGTGAAAAGAGCATGACGTTTTCTCCGTTTGTGACCCACAATTTTACGAGTATCGGAGAAGTGGATATCTTTGTCTTTGCGACAAACGATGTAAGCTTAGCTGCTTTTCGGTGTTCGGTTGATGTTCAGGAAAGAATTGAAGGCTTAAAATTTAGGAACAATTCCCTTTTGCCCGTTGAAAATGGAACTCTAGTTAGCATTGACTGGCTTCTTCGTAAAGGATCACACGTCAACTTTAACTTCAGCATCACATCCAAGGAGTCTGGATACAAGTTTAACAAGTATTTTGATAACGCCAAGACCGTTAATACAATATTGTTCTCCGTTTATAAAACAAAATTCAGTATCTCTGACTTATACCTCATCACAATCATAGCTGCAAATAGGGTAAACAATTTGACTCTCAGAGGAAACTTGAGCGTAGAGCAAAATCTTACCAGTATTGAAATGAAATTTCCTCCTTTGGTAAAAACAAAACATGAATTTAAATTCGTCATGTCGCCCCACCAAGGAGACAGAACAGCCACTTATACTCTGAATATTACTGGAGGGATGGATTCCATATTTAAGAAAATTAACATCTATCAAAAAAATATATCACATGTGTACGAAAAGGCGGGAAACTACTCAGTCGTTTTAAGTGCTGTGAACGATATCAGTTCACTCGTCCAAGGCTACTCAAACATGATCGTTCAAGACGAGATAAAAAATTTTTCTTTCAATGACTCAGCCCGTGATGTTATCATACAGAATAAGTTTGAAAGGGTAAACATAAGCTGGTCGTTAATTCAAGGAACGGATGTAGAAATTGTTATTGACTACGGTGACGGTTACAACGAATCTTGGGTCATCCCAAATGAGAACATACCTTATACAAAAACAACAACCTATGATTACAAGGAAACTGGAAAATATACCATCAGTTTCAAAGCCAAGAATCTTGTGAGTGAAAAGTCATTAAACAAGACAGTTTACGTTGATCCATATGAACTTGACATCAGGTGAGTACTTTAACTGTAGAGCAAGCAATGACGAATACAACCCCTGCTTAGTTCTTCAAATCAGGGTCAGAATCGAAATTTTCTAGGTAATCCCGCACATCATCATTCGGACGATTTAAACTGCCTTTACTTCCTCTTCGTCGAATAACTACTCGGATATGAAATGAAAAAGTCTTCTTGTTGCTTTGATGTAAGGAGATTTAGACAGGATTATTCACCTATGCTCGTAGTTTGATACTAAAAGAGTAGAGAGAGTTACCTATTCTGTTTTCGGGGGTGGGGGTGTGTTTGGGAGCAATTTTTATTTGGGTGTCTTCATAATCCCGCAATTACATTTCTTTGACTTGCTTCACGCTTAACTTGGTATTGTTCAGCTGAAGTCGCTCACCTTTCTCAACGTCTTGGTCACGCGCGTGTTTCCCCGCTTTTGAAATTTACATCTATTATCCAACGATTTCATGGGCTCTTTGAGATAATTAACTCTGTTATGATTGACCGTCATGATTAGTTTGTTTTTGGTTCTAAAAGCGACAACAACACAGAATCGAAAATACAAACTAAAGTTTAACGCCACTCTGGTACTCATTTCGAGATGGTTTACATGTAGTCAGAGGGTATGTGTCAGTATCTGAGCAACTGCACACCTACCCCTCCCCTAACCCGACAAAATTCGTCTAATAACAGTGTTAGTGTTATAGTCGAGATAGGGTAGGGATAGGTGCGCGACTGCTCAGATCAATGACCTTGAACCGAGTGAAAATAAATTTATTGAGCACAAATTTATTATTCTTCCTTCGTTTCAGCTGTGCGCAATGTCGGAAGGAAATAAACCGATATGTTGTCAACCCTTCCAGCAAAATAACGTTTAAAGGACATGGAGAAACCAAAGGAGGCAAATCGATCAAATTCAACTGGAAAGTAAAAAATTGTTCTGCAGACGGGAACGACTGCTCAGTGGCGATGGACTTGAAGGGTTATAACAGCACCCCATTGAATTGGAAATATTTTGTTATTAGACCCGACAAACTTCAAGGTAACCTACATAACTTGACATAAGAGGGCGTTACTAGGCATAACAACGAAACAGAATGAAAATAACTTAAGTTATTGTACCATTACAAAACGTACATTCTGGTGACATGATGTCGCAGCATGAGGCAACTCTACAAGCGCAATGTTATGTGAGGTTTCATGACTCATCTTAACCCTTTAGCTCCAGAAGTGATTGACATGTTAATTCTCCCACTAATATCCATACACCATTTAGCTAACAGGTAATGAGAATACTCGAACTTATCAGGTAGAAGTTGTTATCTTGATTCAAAACCAAACTCTTGTAACTTATTCACAAGCAAATATGTAGCAACTGGAGGGGAGAATTAATATTTAGATCTTGGAAGTCAAAGGGTTAAAAGTGATGCGCTATGTTACTAAAAATAGATTTGTCACCAGAGAGTGTCGCACAGACTCAGACAAATTTCAAACCAGGAACATTATCGCCATCACAGGTTAAAACCGTTAAAGATCGATGCAAAGCGCCCTCCATTCATATGCATTTTCCTTATCACAGACTTGTATGTCTGAGTCACGAGGGGAGGTCTGAAAACTCCTGACGTCTTAAGTGCGCTGCGCTATTTAAAGTAACGTCACGTAACCTGTTGGAGTATAACTTGACGTCACCCGACGTAAAAGAACGTCACACAGCGTTTCGTATGAAATGATAAAAATGTGTTTCTTCTTAAAGAAGTTTAGAGGGGACAACTTCCATATTTTGTTTTGTAGGTGATGTAATATATAAGATCATCTTATTTGGAGAAGTTGACGGTGGAAAGAAACGATCAAAAGAAGTAACAGTCAGGGCGAACACACCTCCTTCAAAAGGGAATTGTACAGTTACGCCGACGGAGGGTCAAGCTCTGGAAACGCTTTTCAACTTGACCTGTAATGGATTCAGTGACACCGATAAACCAATATACTATGAATTTCTGTACTCCAAGAGTCCGAGAGACTTAAACCAAAGTTTAGGTAGTGGACCAGACCCTTGGCAGAATAATGTTATCCTTTCTAGTGGGGACAACATCACAATATACGCCAAAGTTTCGGACTCAGTAGGGGCTACCACAATCGTAACGTTCACATCAGCTGTTAAGGTAAGTGAACACGTCGATATTTGAAGCAAGCAATCCAGGTCATCCAAGGAAACAGTCATCACCTATCACCCGAGGGGTCGTAGGATTTACCTGATTTCCCCCCCCCCCCTCAATGGCAGTTAATTTTCTAAAGTACCCCCTTTTATACTCCGTTGGCGATGACTGGTCTCCCCTCCGTCCTCTCTAAAAACCATCTGATCCCCCCACAACCCCACCCTAGGCGATAGAGTGACTGGTCCCTAACTTTAAGCTAGCTCTGAATATATTGCTCTCTTGCTAAAAGGTCGGTAACTTAATCTGTAGGGATGCAACATTATTTGCGCATCTTGAACATTTTTGTCTTACTTTTGTGGGTTTATTATTTGCAATCTGCGGCAAGCTTCTCCATTCCTTGGTATATCATTATCTTTTTACTTTACTGTAATAGTATTTTCCGTCATCTTCAGGGTAATGGTTCATATGCCAAGGAAAATAAGTCTCCAAAAATCGTAAGGTAGCTCCCTTAAATTCTTTGGCATTGGCGTGAATTAAAAAAGATGATCTGAGTTCCCCGTGAGAACTCTTTCTAACCCTCTGGGTTGAGTTAGGCTCTCGGTTTTCAATGGCAGTAATGCTAGCCAAAAACTGCAAGGGTCTTGGCAGTAAACAGACAAATATTAGCAACCTTTTTCTCCAAAAACCGCCATTAACGACTCGCGCGTTTTTTTGCTTGTCTTCATTGAGCAAGTACCTAGAAGAAGGCCACTACCTTAGGAACCAAGGAAGTTTTTCTCTTTGGCGTAGGAATAATGTAATGAAGTAAGCGTCTTTAAACTAGGCCATTAGTATATGATTATTGGTGTTTATTGATGTTGTAGGTGAAAACACTGCCCGTAAGCTACGCAGACATGACAAAAAAAGCTGAGGGACTTCTGAATTCTACTAAAGGAGACATGAGGCGCACCACGTCTATTGCTCTCACCACTGCTGAGGTTTTGAACGAAAGGAGTACATCAACCCAAAGTGATGAAAGCGAGGTGGAAAAAAAAGTGGAGGTAAACTTACGATAGGTTAAAACTTGTACACTGAAAAGGTTGACATTGGTGTAAATGCAGCCTCGTGTGAAGTTGAAGGTTTCATATAACACGTACCCTAAATAACAAAGAGTTCCAAGGAAAATATGACGTTTGAATGATGTATGATCGTTAGTCTCACTATACAGTCCTTACAATGTTGTTACACGGTGAGCAAAACGACTAAACCCAATTAAAATCGTATTGGTCACGTTTTCCAGCTGCAATATTTTTTCACAATGTTGATAAAAAGCCTGTCAAGTGATATAAAATGTTTACACGGCGCAGTTTCAGAACAGTTAAACAGTCGATAGCGTAAAACAATATTTATTTGTGACTTGTTGGTTTGCAGAGCAGCCGCTCGGTGAGAACTGGATTATCTCACGCATTAGAAAGAAGACACGCGTACTGTGAGTCGTGTGCGTGTGGGTACTCACCTGGATTTACCCACGCGTGTACCCATGCATTTGTTCTGTCGGCGGCATAGTGAAAAACTCGTCTTGTGTGTCATGCGCGCGCGTGACCATTCCATCGTGTGCGCGTGAATTTTCGATCGCGTTTACACTTGCCTGTGGCTGTTAGGCAGGCTAGTTCGATGTTTATTAACTACTCGTTTGTTTTCTCGACAGCTGAGAGAAAAACTTGTGGAATATGTGGAATCTAGCGTTAGAGCGACACTGAATACCAGCGTGTCGGATGTTAGACAAATTGCTGGCACTCTTACTGTGATAACAAGCAAACCCGAACAAAACACAAATATTATGTTGGTAGGTGCTCGTGTTTGTGCTCTGTTTCTTTCACCTTCTTCATTAGCAATTCTCTTCATTGTCTGCCAAATGATTTTCGTTGTGTTAGTTTGGAGAATTTGGTATCGGATCAATTAGTAATTCCATAATTGATATTTTTCTTCATTCTCATCACCTGTCTCCATGACATTGTATAGATGTAGTGAGGAGAAATTCTGTCTTGGTCACCCACGGGAGTTAAAGGATTAAGATTTAACTCAAGTCTCAGTTTTATTTTACTCCAGAGCATAGGCTTCCTGAAAAAGGAACGATTAAAAGTTGTACGTGCATCAAGAATTTAGTACAATGCTTCTTTTAAATGGAGGGAGAAATGAAAAGAAAAAGAGACGATAAACTTTGGAGCTGGGGCAAGAATCACTGCAAAACGTATCAGTGGCAAAACGCCAGGTCACGGAATTGAACCTGGGTCACGGCGCTGCGTGGAAAGTGCGAAATTTGTTCAGGACATTACTCTTCCCTATCATACAACGATTATGAGCTGAACAATAGTAGCAAGGTTGTCCAATCACAGTAAGGCTATTCTCTCAAAACGGAATGTGTTAAGCAATGATTGTGTAGCGGGAAATGCAGCTGGTATAGAAGCGTGAGTTTAACTAACACTAACTTACACTAAACTGTCGTGTTGACGTTTTTGTTTTATATATAGTAAAGCCCTATCTCTGTTGTGTCGTCTTAAACAGGAGAAACTCTCCGACCTCTATGATAACGCAAGTAAAACAATCTTCGAAATTGCTATCCACAAAAGGGCACCTAGCGAGAAATTAAAAGAGGCATCGGCAGCAGTGCTGAACGGAGCCGTTAATCTCATCAGAACGGTGAACTTCACTCGCGGAGGTGAAAAGGTAAGATATGCATTTGGTTCAGTTGAAAATCGTTGTGATGATGCGTGATGCAATGCAAGTACATTTTGCGGAAGAGAATAACAATTAATAATTTATTACTTATATAGCGCAAAATACATGTGGATATGATCTAATGCGCTAAGAGAGAAAAGACGACTGAACGGATTAAATTAGAAGTCGCCGCCACTCTTCGCTGGGATTTTTGTCCTGGAAACGATTTTTGGTGTGAAATTGATAATTTCTGTGAAAGTCTTTTTCCTCAACGAAATTTGTGCAATAATCGCCGTGATAAGGTGTCTAGGTACGAGGGCGCGAGAGCTTTTTGCGATTTATGCCTACGAGGCAAGTCATCGTAACTTGTTTCGGTAATCGACGACTTTGTACTGTAACAGTACTTTCCTCGAGAATAAAGTGTCTATCTTACCCAAGCACAAGGCAGCAGCGTGACCCAGTCCCCAGCTAGGGGTTGTATCCGCACCTTTCGATCTGGAGTCCCGCGCGCTGAGCATCAGACTTCCAAAGTCTCACAGACTTTATATGTAGAAGTTAATTTAAGCGTTACATTTGAAAAGGTTTTGTTTCGTTTCATAAGCTGTCGTCTAAGATAGCACTATGTTTTTTAGTTGCCGTTTGAAGACTCAAACACAACAGAAAAAAATACAACAGAGAGAGTCATCGGAACGCTTGATAGACTGTCGCAAGCTCTTGTAATTTCAATGGTCGATGGAGAAGAGCCAACGACTATCGACAATGAAGTTCTCTCAATGGGACTTTCACTTGAAGGTGCTGAGTTTATCGGCAAGAAGCCCTACAAAGTTGGTGACAGTGAAGTGAAGATTCCAGAAGGCTCGATTGAGCTAGGAGATGAAATCCTCAATCAAGTGGTATGTTGAGTTTGATATGGTAACTAAACCCTCCAAAGGTTTAAATAGTTAGAGAACAAATTCGTATATTCCTTCGATTTGTTTTTCTTAGAGCATACTTTCTGCGATAAAACTGTTCCCCGAGGGAAACGACTCTGGCCGCCTAAATGACAGCAAGTTCGTACGCTTTTCATTGTTCGAGGTAAATACTGCCGACAACAGTCGCAAAGCTGAGCATGAAGTGAAAAATCTGACGACTGGGAACGAAATCAGTGTCATAATCCCGCTAACTCGTACGCAATTGAACAGAAGTTTATATTGGGCTGAGAGGAAGCTGGTTCTGTCTCAATACAGTGCGTATTCGTTTGAAATTAAAGACAATATTTCTACCGTCACGTTTGAAGTTACAACGGAGGCTCCTGTCGATGTCGAGATATTTGTCACCATAGGCCGTGAACCTAACACATCCCAGCATTTGTTCAACTTCAGCGCTAACTTCTTGGCTGAGAATTACCTTTTACAAAACAAGGTGGCAAATTTGTCGAATTCAACTCTTCAGTCATATTCCCACAGATTACTTTTGGCTGATGATGTCGTAAATTTCACAGTTGCTGGAAGATACTTCGCCAAGATCATCTTCAAGAAGCCCAGCAATCTCACATGGCTCTCTGACGAAATATTCACTGAAAAAATGCATTATAACATCTCTGTTTATCGATCTTGGTGTATGTTCTTCGACGAGGGAAATAATTCCTTGTCAACAGAGGGAGTCAAGGTAAACAAACTTGGACATTTTTACTGAAGGGGGAAGACCAGTCAACCAGTCGTTATGCATCACCTTTTGGGGGGGGGGGCGTTGACGGATCCACATGGTTTTCAACGGGGATTAGTCGTTGGCAACAGAGTTTAAAGGGAAAGATAACATTGACATAAGTCCACGATTAGGGATGCAGCCTCAGTTTGAGATATTCCAGACAGAGTCGTCATACATTGTTACAAATCCAATTTCAGGGAAGGAAGAGATATTCAGGGTTAAAAAGTAGTCTCACACTTAAGAGTGTTCGCTTTTTACTCAGTCTTTTTACCTTAATTTTGAACGATGTTCTGATCAGTTCTGTGTTGTGAAATACGAGTTACAAGGAAAAATGATTGAAATCTGGGCAACCCGAGACGCCATCGGGAACTCTGTGTACTTATCCATAAAGAAGGTCGTGAGACCATGACCGTGGCTTTATCAAGCTTGGGAAATTGCATTTTGGTTCCTCAATACAACTCATGCGGTGTTTCATGTTTTCTCTTTTTTGTGATAGGTGGGGCCGAAAACAAACCTCACTCACGTCGAATGCCTTGCCTCGCACTTGACTACATTTGGAAGCGATTTCTTTGTGCCACCGAACAGATTGGACTTTAACGAGTTTAGTCTGCTTGAACTGTTTCAGAGCCCTCACGCACTGATTGCAGTGTGTACAATTCTTGGTCTTTACTTTCTGTGTCTAACCGTTGTCATACGTGCCGATAAGAACGACGCATTAAAGGTAATCATTGTGTCCTAAGTTATGACAGAGCAATGTAACCATGAGCAAGAATAAGACTTTCTGCCTTGTTTTCTTGATTTCTTGAATCGTTGTTGATTTGGAATTGCTACCATAATAACTTTATTTTTTTACAAGAACATAGGATCTTTATATGATTTCAACGCTTACTTTTTGTTTCTCTCTGTCTTCTTATCGAGGGTTGTGTTAGTTACGAAAAAATCAGACTAAGGAAATTTCTCTACCTTGCACTCTCTTCTAACATGCAGAAAAACAGTTTGAGTGACTTAAGTCCTTAATTTTCAATACTAAGTTTAAATGGAAGTCGGATTTAATTTCCTTACCTATCAAAATATCTTATAATGTTATTTTTGCAGGCAGGAGTAACTCCACTCCTTGATAACGATTCTCGGGATACGTATTGTTACCAGATTCAAGTTCATACTGGTTTTATTCGCGGGGCTGGCACGAGTGCTGAAGTATCTATAGCTCTCACTGGCGCTTTGGGCGACAGCGAACCTCGACTTCTGAAAGATCCGAAAAGAAAAACTTTCAAGACAGGTTTGTTATCTCGCTTTGTTTGCCTTTTACAAATTATGGGAAACCCCTTCCCAGTTGGATTATGAACGAAGCCAGAAAAAAGAAGTTAAAATCAATAAGGAATGCGCGCGCATGATTTTTTACCATCACCACTAGCTATGCTTATACTAAGGGCATATACATATAAGGGTATGGTTTAGAGTGTGTCACAGAAGGGTAAGCTGGTTATACTGGCATATCATGTTACTTTGTCAAGTTACAGCAAAAAGGTATATTTTAAAAGAAGGGTTTTAAAAAGATAAAAATGGTTCATATACGTCAGTAGCGAGTCAAGTTTGAATTCTTCTCCTCGCTAGGAGCTGTCGATGCCTTTCTTTTAATCGTTCCCCAGTCGCTTGGAAACTTGAAACAGATTCGCGTGTGGCACAACAACGGTGGGACCTTTCCATCGTGGAATCTTCTGCGCATCATGATCCAAGACATACAAACTGATCAGAGGTGGTGGTTTGTTTGTGACAACTGGCTGGCGGTCGAGGAAGGTGACGGCAAAATTGAAAGGACTCTCATCCCTGCGTCTAAGAAGGAGCTGACTAAATTCAACGTCCTTTTCGCGTCTGAAGTAAGGAAGAATCTCACCGATGGCCATATTTGGTTCTCGGTCGTGGCTCGACCACCACTAAGCACTTTTACTCGAGTTCAACGCCTGACTTGTTGTTTGTCCATCTTACTGTGCACAATGCTCGCAAATGCCATGTTTTACGAAGTAGGCAAAAACGAGACGACAAAAAATGCCATCAAGATTATGGGCTTTAGTTTCTCGATCCAGTCAGTTTCGATAGGAATCATTAGCAGTTTGGTAGTGTTCCCAGTGAATCTCGTCATTGCCACAATATTTCGGAAAGCTAGGCCGAAGGAAAGTCGATACGAAGTGAAAACCGGCGCTGACGATACAGATGACTTTGATGTCGAAAAGGATGGAGAAAAGAAGAACGCTCCTGCAAGCAAAGGACTCCCGCATTGGTTTGTGTACGTAGCATACGGCCTTGCATTTCTATCCGTGACTACTTCGGGGACGTTTGTGATAATGTATGGAATGCAGTTTGGAGCTGAAAAATCTGTAGAGTGGCTCTCCTCGATGGCTGTTAGCTTCTTGCAAGATGTCTTGTTAACACAGCCAATCAAAGTCTTCATACTAGCGACACTTTTTGCTCTCCTAATCAAAGACCCGAAGAAGGCCGAAGATGATTCATACGCGGATATCAATGCTCTTGCAAAGGACGAGGAGTGGTTGCACACGGACATCACAGACCTTGCTCCTGAAATACAGAAGACAATGAAGAAGATAATTAGCGACAAGCCGCCAGAAGAGGCAAAGCTGGAGATTGCTCGTCAGCTCCGCTTGAAAGAGAAGCAGATGAGCTCCACTATCCAAGAAATTTCCTGGTATATCATCTTCTTGTTGGTTCTTCTCACCATAAGCTACACCAACAGGGACTTAGATACATCTCGGGTGACCCAATACATGAGGAATACCTTTGAAAGAGCAAGTTACAGTGGAAACCTAACTTACGACAAGGTAAGCCCGTGAACTGAGTTACATTCAATGTGACGGTAACCCTCACACGTATTATCTCTTCACTTCAAGGCATACGAGTACGCTCGTGTAACAGAGTCTCGAGTTAATTATCAAAGGGGGAGAAAATTAATTTAATCACTATTTCCTTTACAAGGTACACGAGATAAAGCATTACTGGAGATGGTTGAGTGAGACATTCATTCCTTCTATAAAGCCTAAAGTTCACTACGATAGTTCGACGCACTATCAAAAGGGCTATCTTGCAGACATTCCAACCGCCTTTCTTTTGGGTGTGGCGCGTCTAAGGCAGCTGAGAATTAAAAAAGGCAAGTCTTTTTTTTTGTTACTATTCATGGACCAGAGGAACTTCGTGAGAGGGCCACATAAAATGATTGTGAATAACATTCAAATAACAAGGAACGTCTTACGTTTTCAACGTGCATCCCATTGTATTACGAGAAGTAGGTGTAAACCAAAGACAACTTTTATCCCAGTCATTCCAAATGTTGTGCTTGAAATTCGAGTATTTCACCAGTCCCTTAATTGGCTTTGGTATTAATAAAGATTACAATGACTGTCTTTCTTAGATACCTGCGTATACAAACGCGTTTCACGCGACATAACCGAGTGCAACGACTTCTACAGCATAAAAGAAGAGGACGATGGCTGGTATTTACCAGGTTGGAAGGCCACACAAACCGCAGGAGCTCAATCTCAGTCCCTCTCTTCTCACAGGCAAGCTTCTCAGTTAAAAGATCCTTGGATCTATAGAAGTGGAGAGGAGCTGAAGACATTCCCATATTGGGGTTACAAGGGGACGTATAGCGGTGGAGGTATGACATGCGCATGTACTCGACAGATCCTTCTTTCTTTATTAACGAGTAGTGGAGGAACTGTTTGACAAGATAAGTTGAATAAAATCGTGAGATTTTCAGCGAGCGAGAACTACATACTTTAATTCAGAACCATCGAGCGAGGAGTGTGTAAACAATGAAATGCATAGACAAATCCACGCAAGACCTTACCATCTGTCACTGAAAGTTACGATCGAAAGAAATGGCATACCTGTGAATTCTTAAGTGCATTGCTTTTCTTTTAACTCTATCATGATAAGTTCAGTGCCAATTTCTACCACATGAAATTGTTTAATTATTTTTATGATAAGTTCAGTGCCAATTTTTTATCGTAGTTATCTTGTATTTATTATGAGTTTAGATTATTTTTTAACACTAATTTTTTTAACCAGCGAAATAATCAAGGCGGCTTATTTTAAGGAATCTTGTATTGTGTTTAAAGCTGTCCTCAAATTGATTGAATTGACTTGTTCAATGTAATTCATTTGGAATTTGTATTTAAGTTAAAGTTTGTCTTATTGTTGCAGGATATGTACAGAAATTTCCACAGAATCAGGATGTCAACAAATTGCGGAAGATAATAAGAGATCTTAGCTCACAAAATTGGTTGGACCGCTACACAAGAGCTGTCTTCTCTGAATTTGCCATTTACAACGCAAACACCAACTTGTTCTGTGTTGTCACTCTTCTGTTTGAACAGCTCCCAACGGGAAGTCTGTCTCCGTATCCCAACATTGTTACCCTTCGTCTCTTCAGGTACGTCGGAGGCGAAAAGGTCTTCGTGATAACATGCGAGGTTGTGTACTTTTTGTTCACTTTGTTTTTTGTGGTTAGAGAGGTCAAACTGGTGTTGAAAAAGGGAAGGGTACATCTGAAGAATCCGTGGAGCATTCTGGAAATCCTTGTTACTCTTCTTTCACTCTCTGCAGTGGGACTGTATTTCGCAAGGTTAAAACTCACCAAAGATGCGTTGAGGGATATGAAAAATGACCGAGCTGACTTCATCAGTTTCCATTACACAGCTTTCTTGGACGAGTGGCTCAAGTGTGTCATGGGCGTTATCGTATTCCTGTCATTCTTGAAAGTGTTCCGTCTCTTGCGGTTCAACCGGCGCATGTCGATGCTACAGCAAGTCCTCAAAAGGTCCTTCACCAAATTGATGTCATTCATGGTCATGTTTGCACTCGCGTTTATAGCCTATGCTTTTCTTGCATGCTTGGTGTTTGGGCAAGAAATGAAAGCGTTTGGAACATTTTTGAGAAGTTGTACTTCTTTGATGGATACATTACTCGGCAAGTTCACATTAAAGGAATTGTCAACAGCCAATCGTATTCTTGGACCGATTTTCTTTTATACCTATACACTGACCATGTTGTTTGCTCTTCTGAACATTTTTATTTCCATCATCAACGATGCATTTGCTGAAGTTTGCAGCGATGTAGAGAAGCAGTCTAACGATTACGAAATACTCGACTTTATGGTTCATCGGCTGAAGGAGGTATTTGGCAGGACAGATGGCCACGCCGTTCCACCAGTCTACAGGGAGCGTAAGAGTAAACTGGAGACTAATTTAGATAAGATCGCCGATGATGCAGATAATGCAACTCACTTCATGAGGAACATAGCATTTGAGGATATGAGGGTGACGCGGTGGTTTCAATTGGAAAACTGCACAAAAAAGAAGAAAAATTTGATGCGGCTGCTAATGGAAGTGGATTGGGATTATCACGAGGACGAACTCTGTGATTCTATACCAGTGTTCGAGAGGTTCCTTGAGAAGTACAGCGAGGAGGAACTGGAGAGAATTCTGCAGCATTACCACCAAAAACGGATGGTGGAGGACATTGTCTTCGATAAACTCAATGCTACTGGTGAATTCGACGACTCATCCGATGACAGTAACAGTGCTAGCGATGACAGCAACGATAACAATAGCGGAATCGTCAGCAACGACGAAAAGATGTTTGATGACGAGATGCCTTTGGAGGACGAAGACGGTTGCAGAGGGGAATCGAGGATTACGAAGCCAAAACTCAATGCTAGCCTTTACAGCACGGAAAGCCGTCAGCAATCAGGTCTTGGTACCAAATTTGAAACGATTGGAACTCGAAGTCCCTCCCCGTCAATTGTGGATTCAGAGACAGCAACTCTGCTTGCTGGTCTTGCCACAGTGATGAGTGGCAAAGAGCTTATAAAGGCATTGAAGGATGCGCAGAGGGAAGTAGAAGATCGCTGGGTTGGTGACCCTGAGTTAGCAACCAGTTTCGAGAAGCCTTTATCCTGTGATGATATCAGTTCACTGACGTTTGACTGCTAAAAAGGAAGCTCAGGTGAAGAGGACGACGGATGAGAGAGAATCGCAACAAACTGAATCAACGAGTGGAAACTAATTGAATAGCCTTTAAAAGCAAAACAGTGAGGTATTTTAGTGGTTTTGGTCCGAAATCAAACCACCATTTGTATAGTTGAAAGTGTTTTAAGTCAGACTTTAGAGATGCCTATGTCGCGATGATATGTCGGCAGATTCTAATGAATTGTTAGATAAGCTTGTTAACACTTATGGAATTGTATTTCTTTAAGGTTTACAAATCCATAGAAAGTTTTTCATTTTATACATCAAATTTTAAGCGTTAATGTGAACGTAATTTTTTGATCCTCGGCGCTATTTGTTACTACTAGCTATACGATTAGGTGTGTACCATTTCAGTGTTAGTCGAGTAATGATCGATATCCAAAGAAAGAATTCTAATTTAACTCCGAAGCCGATACGCAAGAATGCTTTACAACTTTAATTATTCGAATGGTTTCTAAATACAGATGTGAGCCTCCACATCTGTTTTTGTGGCTCAGTTGACACAAGCATGCAACTGGTGTCAGGGATGCCCAGAAATGTTTTTGCTGCAATACCTAAAATTGCATTTTAATTGTACAGATCAATTCGTCTTTTAACTTTTGTTGTGGAATAAAACACTTCCTTGATCAAGCCTAGTTTCGAGCGAGGCAGAGAGAGAACCAGTTTTTTCTCTTAAAAAGTAAAAATTTATTGCTGCAATAATTCCGCATAAGGTAGCAAGTTTATCGTGGTGGAGATGAGCAAGATATTTATAATGATGATATGAAGCTGAAAATATTAATTCTTAGTAACCGAGTGTGATACATATATCTTATCAGACGTTTTGGTGTGTAGTATCGCTAAGTATTTTACAAGTTGTGCCGTATTTTGACGACACGGCACAACTCGTAAAATTTCTCAGCGATACTACATATAAAAATGTCCAATAAGTTATTTATTATCCAACTGCTTTTTTTCGTGCTACGTCTTTCTTCTCCGTCATTTCTTATAGAGCGGGAAAAGCAAAGCGGATAGAAACGCGTAGCGCGCGCACCCGACTGGCTAAACAGGTTTTTTACAGTACAAAATAATGAACCGTCCAAATAACTGTCCAGTATCTCAGGATATTTGTACTATTCACGCGTTATTTGTACTCTACTTTGTGCAGTTGGATAATGAAAGGGAATATTGGCCTGAGGATTAATATCCTTCACTACGGCTCGAGCAAGGGAGGTAAATACGAAGTTTATTGTATGGTACTCCAATCAAACTTGTTTATTCTGAATTTTCTGGCTTCTGTGGAAACGGTCCATATGGCAAAACACGGATCAAGTAAGAGCCAATCAGAACACTCGGATTTACCTAAGGACTATCCGGCCATATGATAAACAATTTCATTGACAATTGAACACACATCAAAAACATTTGTTTAACAACAAAAAAAAGGAAATTACGAAACACTGAAGAGCGACAGTATCTTGAACACTAGGTTTTTTTTTGTTAAGGTGGGTTAGAGGTCGAAAGGATGAGAAGAAGTGATGAAATCTGGACTGAATTCCAGCACATGTCATCTTGCAGATCTACCTCTGGAAATTTGTTTCGAGAGGCTTCCCTCAAAAAAAAGTGTAACTTTCCTTTAAAATTGTTAGATGTAATTACTTGTCCGTTTACCTCACCTAAATTGCTGATTCTCTTCGCCGAAATAACAACGATACACCACGTGATACAAACGTCATAATCATTTAGCTGTCAAGCTGTTAAGGAGCTCGGCTCATCTTTTATGGAAGAGCAGTAAGAGCATGATACTAATAAACGACAAACAAGGTACATGGTTCAGGTGTTAGTGGTTCCTTTCCCTTACATGGGTTGAAAAATTACTTTACTCGGCATTACTCATTAACCAAGAGCCGAGCGAAAGGAATTCTTGTACAGTCCTACATTCCTGATTCCTTCAAATTGAAAATCCGTGCAGAAAAAAAGGCAGCAAATAAATTAACTTGCCGAGACAGTAAACGGAAAATGTGTTTAATGATTTGTGAAGTCAAGGGTAAATGTTGGTTACGTGTGAGTAATTTCTGATCTTCCGGTGGGGGTTGTCGTGACAAAGACTCTTGTCGGCGGTAGTAAGTTTTGACATCTATTGTTCCAAAAATGGTTGCGTTAATTAAGAGTGTTTAAGACGTCAATAAAGAGAAAAAAGAGAAAACGCGTTAAAACAAATCATTCTGAAGGTGGTCAAAATCCAAAAGCAATTAGGAGAAGACAAATCTGAGGTAAATACAGCAACTACGTGCTGCTAGCCATTTCTGAGTCGTCAAGTGTCTTTTCCGGGTCACCGGCTGGGAAACAATAACAGAACAATATGGATTTTATTTAACGCCCCGTGACCATGTTAATGGTTGCGTAATGAATATTTATGCACACGCAGTTAGGAAATTGCTTTATTCAGGGGTTATTGGAGTACTTCTTAACAAAAGATGTCAAAAGCTGTCTTGAATAGCAATCGGGACATTGAGATTCTCTGATCTTTGAGAGGATTTTTAGACGCAGCTAGAGGCGTAAACTCTACATGCAATTCTGGTGTATTTAAAAACCTCTTTAGTTCATCGGACGCATCTCTGGATCATACAAAATCGCCCTCTGGGCGCTCAAAGGTTCGAAAAGTTATCACTACAAGACGAGTGACATGTTCAAGACTCGTCGGAAAAATGCCCTTTTGGTTGCAGTGTTGCTTCTACTGACTCCCAGTTTTGTTGAAGCAACGTTATCTTCGTGTACAAGCAACTCTAACGCAGACATCTCATCACCATGTAAGTTTGCACCGGGAGTTCATTCTTATACCTCGTTAACTGTCCGTACTGAAGTCTTCCTGGAGACAACCTCTGGCTCCTCGCAGCATTTCTTTAATGTCTCTCAGACGTTTGACATTAAAGCAAATGGCAGATTAGTTCTTGATTATAACAAGGAAAGTGGCAGTAATCCTGGTGCGGGTGTGTTGACGAGTGGAAGCACCGGTAGATCTGGCGGGAGTTACGGAGGCAGAGCTGGCGCTGCCGCTAAAACGCCGCTATCTACATCTCAGGCTGAATCATATGGTAGCGCTTTTGTCGTCACACAGCCTGGGAGTAATGGTGGCGGCGATCCAAATACACGCGGGAGAGGAGGAGGTTTCCTTAAGATATACGCTCGTAAGCTTGTCGTCGCTGGAACAGTGCAGGCTAATGGTCAGCGCGCTCAGCAGAATGACGGTGGAGGAAGTGGCGGTGGCATCTCTGTAGACTGCTTCGAAATCGACGGCAACGGAAGAATGGAAGCTTCTGGAGGGATGGGTAGCGGCGAAGGGGGTGGTGGAGGCGGTGGAAGGATTTCGGTGCAGTTTCAACACGGTTCCTTTTTAGGCCAAGCAAAGGCGTACGGAGGCAGGACGGGTAAGACAGAGAGTTTCATCTGCTTTATTTTCCGTGATCGAGCTTACGACTTCCGCTTTGACTGCGTTCCCTTTTGCTCCTTGAGACAAACCTGTGACATTTACATGACAGAAGACAGCAACAGCGACTTCTATTAAAAATCCCCTAAATTTGTTTACTTTCCCACAGATTATTTCCAAAAGTTTTCGCACATATCAAACCTCAATTTTTATCTGGCCCAACAAAAGTGTGATCGTAATAAACCACACTTGAATGATTCTGAAAGCCAAGCGTCTAGGCGAGGGAACATTAACCATTAGAGACAACAAACGATGGCTATCGGAGAGCACCCATTTGTCTGATAATTCGTGAAAAAATAGATGTTTTCGTGTTGGCGATTACATTTCCGTTGCATTCTCGGATAAAGCCTAGCAATTAGTGGAGAAATCAATATTTGATAAACGGAATATCATTCTTTTTTTCTGCCAATTTAAAGGAGTCGGATCACTTTCGCATTATAAACAAGGATATCATTAGTATTATAAGCGAGGATATTATTGACCATTTAATATCACTGGTATCATTTAATGATCTTATCAATATAAGAGTGAGGTATTTTCTTGTGCAAGGCCTTGTAACAAGTCGATATGTATCTCAGTCTCATTGGCTTAATACGCCGAGCAAAACAATCCTCCTCTCTTTGATTGCCATATGCCCGACAGCCGGGCACGGTTTTTGAAAGTATCATATGTCTGTTAGGAAATGCCAATCGATCCAAAAACCGTTGGATTTTTTTTTGTCAATCAGTTGAAGAAATATCTAAACTTTGGCCTCATAAAGCAAAATCGCTTTGATCTCGATTCTTGGAAAATTCACTATAACTAATTAGCTGGCAACCGGGCACAGTCTTGATTGGACTAACTGCTCGCGGTGCAAAAATTTTTTCATTCGTCTCTTTTATGCAGGAGTTCCTCTTAAACTAGAACTCAATGCGATGTGTACATATTTTTAGAATTTCTTTTGGTATAACAACCTCGAGACCACCGAGTGCATTTCATCAACACAAATATGTAGAAGTAATTTCCTCATAATTACAATATTCTTATCAACACACAGAATAAGAGCTTGTCATTACAAAAATGTAGCAAAACACTTGAACTTTTTTCTCCCCTTGGGCAAAAATCACAAAAACGATTGTTGTGTGCAGTCGTGCTCGTAGCATTTAAGTGTTTGTCAAACTATACGTGCGTCCAACATCGCGTCTGATAGCGTCACAGAAACCATTTCCGCTCCCACAATAAGGAACTTTGCTTTGTGGCACGTCTTAATTAAACATTAAGTTACGAAAACAGTTTCCCTTTTAATTCTTTTTCACTCACTCTAATTAAATTGATTATGACAAGGAATTTTGGATAGATTTCGAAACAATAGCTTAGGAATTTTTTTCCGTTTTAGATCTCGGAAACAGAACAAATTACTCACGACAGGACTGCGAGATGAAATGAGGTCTGATACGTGAAAACTCTATCAGCTTGATGGAGTGGTCGGGAAATGCAGTGTCGTATCTATGAATTTTGGCTTAAGATTACACACGATCGCATGTTATCGAAAGTTTGCGCTGAGTGAAAGCTTGTGATTACAGACTTGAAATGTAACACTTAAATTTTTTACCCTCGGGCAAGATTTTTAAAATTTACGGTCGTTGTCGTTGTCGTTGTCGTTGCGTTTTTTCAACCACGGGCTTAACCTATCTAAATTTAATAGGCGTTTTTTCGAATTTCTGTTTCTTTTTTATGATACGTGCGTCCGAAATCGCATTATTTCGTGTTTCACTGCGTCAGGGGTTTGATTCTTTTATAACTCATTGACGTAATCGCTGAAATCAACAACAAAGAGGCCAACAACAACAATAAGAAAACGTCTTAGATTTTCCTTAAGCAACAATAAGAGCAGCAACGAGATGCTTGTTACACGCGCAGCAGATGAAATATCATGTAAAATTGGGTTTTTTGCTTGCACAGAGCGATAATTAAAGGAAAATCAAGAATGATGTGCTTCAAGGTTGAGACATATTTGCACGTTTAGGTCTTAAATTCATGAATGTGCACCAGGTTGTTCTTAGGCTTTTCCTAAATAACCGTGGTTGTCAGCAGAATCTATATTTCGGTCCCGATATTTTGTACACGAATCAGGGTATTTCCGGGTTAAAATGTTATCTATAATTTGGGCTTCCAGATTAAACAATATCGTTTGCAAAGTACGTGACCATTAGCTGCTGTTGTAAGTACTAAAAAAGCGCAAATCAACACTCCAAAGAACGTATTTGAAGGTTATAGTCTGCCTCGTTAGAATTTCACTTTTAAAATATTGACGTTGCCACAGCCGTATTTGACATTATTACCGCACCTCGTCGTGATCTGTGGAAATCGATCGCAGTTTTTGTCATTCATTTATTTATTTTTTCAGAAAATGAAGTTAAAGCGCAAGGTGTAGCTGCTGGTTCTCACTCTTTAACTGCTTCGTCCAGGAAGAGTGTGTCTGCCTCTTACCCTTCATCCAATATAGTCTACGACCCCTCCAAAGGCCGATTAAATTACCAGGGGTCCCCTGGCGGATGGATGCCAGCGACCAATAATACTGGATCTGAGTGGCTCGAGGTAAAAATTTGTCTTGAGCTTGTTTCTCTTTGTTATTGTGTTTGCAATGTTAAAATTCGACTGAGACGAGAGACTGATCATTTTTTTTATCGCCTTGGGGGTGGGGGTTTAGATGAGCAAAGGCGAAGCGGGTGGCGAAGTCAAAGGCTTAGTGACGCATAGGAGGAAGAGGCGAAAAAAGATCCCCCTGGCCTCGCGCTTGCTGTTACGGGCATTTTTTGTGTCGATTACTTTGAACCTCGGTCATCATCCCGGCCAGAAAAGAGTCTTCAGGACTAATTATATTCTAAAATTTTGTGAACAGGTTCGGTTGTCTAAAGAGGCTTACATAACTGACGTGGCTACTCAAGGTCGATATAGCGGAAGTGAATATACCTCTTCATATACGTTGAAGTATCTTGATCCTTATATCAGTTCACCAGAGACTTGGAGAGATGTAAAGGTAAGAACTTTGTGTGTCCCAAAGCAAATACTCCGTGGCTCTTATAGCTATATAAAACGGTAAAAATTCAAGATAAAACTTTCGAAGTTTTCGTGTAAGAGAAGAAGTACAAATCCAAATGCAGCACTAATTTTTATTGGTACAGTAGGCAATTGACAATTAGTTCTTTACTGAGAAGAATTTTAAAGTATGTGACAGCAAGTCAGTAGGTAGATTTGTGTGTAGTCACGTTTCCGTCACACAATACTTAGCAGTGGGTACGTCACGTTTGTGCTGCTGCTTGTCAACCCGAACTTCCGTTTAAAAGGTAGTTTTCTGTCGTTTAAATTTGTGTAACATCAGTTGTTTTTATTTACGAATTTATATGTAATTCTATTCAAATAGAGAGTGAGCAGTTATGCTGTTATAGCTTGGCAAAGGCAACGAACTGATGTTAAGTGTATCATTAAAATGTTCCTGTTTCTTGTGAATTAATCCTGTCATCTTCGTAAAAATTGGCGATTATTTTGATAATTTTTTAGGAGAATGGTGAGGTAAAAACCTTTACAGGAAACTCGAACACAAATACAGTCAAGCAGAATGCTCTACCAACAGATGTATACACGAGAGCTATTCGATTTTATCCGAAGGCATTCAGCGGTGGAATCGCCCTCAGAGTTGAACTATATGGATATGCTGCAGGTTTGTAAACATATTTTGACATTATTGCTGAATGGAAATTACTTAGATGTGTCAATAGAGATGCTAATCCTTCCTTGGCTGTCAAATGTTATGAAATTCAGTCAATTAACGTCGTTTCATTTGCAAGGCTTCTTCGGTGCATGCGGAGCACGGTCTGTTTCCATAACTATTGAAGACCCAGTAGCAAATGATCAAGCGAGAAGAGGATAAAACGGCGACTTTTCCCTTTAAGACAACTTTTGCGGCCCAAAACGCCGCTTTATCAACTCCTTGCCCGATTTTGGGTCTTACAGTTACCGAGTAAGGAAAGTAACGTAAAATTTTGCGTCACACAACGCGTCACGCCAATTTCGGTTGGAATGACTGACGGGTTTTTGAATAGGGGTTGCTCTCTCTACTTGGCAAGTGTGAAAAATTACTAAGTCTAATTCATCTAGAGGCAAATGTGTGTAACTGTGGTTAAATCGTTTTAAATGTTCCAATTTTCTCGCTGGGTGTCAGGTGTATTTCAAAACTGTTATCGGGGTCTTGAAAATGCAATTCATGTCTGCAGTCAAAATTTTATTACCATTCCAGCCGATCCTTAGCCAGCTAATGAATCCTTAACGCCGTTTTTTCTCTCTCCGAAATGTCTCCTGAAATTCTTGACCTCTTCCACGTATATGTCTAGGAAAGGAGTGCAAGGAGAACATAAATCAATTTAATTTGCCTGGCGACAAAAATTTACACTGTTGCTTTCATTGCAGATCTTGCCAGTAATCCTGGTTGCAGCTACGTGCTCCCTCAAGGTTAGTTTAATCATATCAGTTATCAATGAATCGCTACATTTGGTTGGTACCTCTGTAGTATACAATATTTATAAGGATGTGGTTAAACCTTAACATCCAGAAGTGATTGACATGCAACTTCTTCCCATGATATCTATACATTATTCAGAAAACTGGTGGTGAGAATACTCGAACTTATCCGATAAAGGTTGTTATCTTGATATAACAACAAATTTCCGTAACTAGTTTACTAGGAAATCTCTAGTAGCTAGAGGGGAGAATTAACAATCAGATCCTGAGAGTTGAAGGGTGAAGTGGGGGAGAGGGGGCGAAATATGCCCTTGTGGTCTAAGTTCCCAACTATGTACTTCCTTCCTCTGCCCAAAGAAGGTTCACTTTCAGTGAAAGAAGGCGGCGTGAGTTTCCTACACCGATTACAGAACTCAGCGAGGAAAACCGTACACAATCCTGGATTACTTTTGACAGTCGATTAAAAATGGAACTAACATGCAGTTTTGTAACTCTTCAGATAACAATCCTGAACCCGGAGGACCGGGGACAGTTTACTTCGACGGCTACAAAAGCGGTTCCAGACATCGAGTGCTGAGTGTTGACAACCAGGGAAGGCGACCGAGGGTAAGTTTCAATAGCTTCTACCGCAAGAAACCAACGGAAACTGTTTTGGAGAAAAATGAAAAAGATCCAGAGAGACAAAACAAACCAAATCAAGCAAATAATGGACCAATCATTCTTTATCGCCTTAA